AAGCATCAAATATGAAAGGGGAGCTAATAAATCTGACTTCAACTGTACTTATTACATACTGTTTATAAAACAAGGTAACACTTTACAATAACAGTACATGAATAATGATGTAGTAATAAGTAAACTAAACATTACTTTATTATGAATTAATGATGAGTTAATGTATGAACCAATCTTTAACTAACTTTAACTACAACATGAGTCACAAGAGTTTGTGTGTGAATAACCGCTACCTTAATTACTTGCTAGTAAATGTTAATTAGTGTATTAATTAACATTTAAGTTTAAGATAAATGTAACCAACATGAACTTATGAGCTAAAAATGTATAACTATTTCACGACTTTACTTGAAAGGGCACGTGACCATTAACTTATCCTTAACTTTACAGAAACTTCTATGTTTAAAATGTTGATGTTGACAGAACACTTTTTGGTAACACTTTAGTTTAGGTCGCAATGGACGACATTAACAAACCATTACTAATACTACTATCTTAATAAACTACTTTAATCAATTTATTACAGTCAAAATATTCAATAATTACTTTAATCAATACTAATTAGCTGTTTATTAATAGTATGGTAAAAGTAGGATTTAGTAGGGTTTAATACATTAAATAACAAACAATCATGTACTAACAAGTAATTAGGGTAGCTGTTGTTCACGCATGAACTCATGTGACTGATGTTGTAGTTAGTTCATGATTATCGCATACATTAATTCATCATTAGATCATAATAAAATAATGTTTAGTTTACATATTAACACATCATTATTTATGTACTGTTATTGTAAAGTCTTACCTAAAACAATAAGCAAGCAGTTCATTCCACTGGGGCGACCCGTGATAAAATCAGGGACTATGTCGAAGGAAAATGAATGAATAAAAACAATAAGTAAATCACTCTAATATTTATTAAGGTTTGAAATATTAAAATACCTTGCTGACAAATTAAGGAATATTATAACAATCAAAAATGTCAATTATTACGGTAGGCACTTTAACTCATTAGAACATGCAGATAAAAAAAGGAATAAATAGGGGTGGATTTATATTGTCAATCCATTTAACAGATGTATATGAGCAATATCACACTCGTAGCAGTGCGATATGGCTGTATATCGACACTGGTGGGAGGCATGAGTGCCGAGTGCTGATATACAGCCATATCACACAGCTACGAGTGTGATATTGCATTTACACAACAGTTTGATAGCATAATCGTGCATATAAAATAGAAGATCAAACACGGAATGTCTAAAACCCTTTTGTATGAGGAACTATTTTCTTTTGCCATTCATTCACATCTGCAGCTGACATCAGATGAGTAGAAACGGTTGCTTATTCACCTACGTCACTTTAGAGCTAATATTTGAATGATTTTCTAGTGTAATGTCTAAAGTGAAGACAAAACAGGTGATTTTGCTCACATTTTAAGATTATAAGGCTAAACAGCATGAAATGCCATCAGTCTACAGAGATTTCCCTGTATTTCTGTTGCAATCGGGAGATCACAATAATTAACCCCGAAAAAGCCAAAGCAACACAAACACTACCAGATTACTGTTGTGTTTGCTATAAGGAAAACCGCTGAACACATGCGGGCATTTCTTTCTTTTCCTGAGCTAGTTTGCAGCAGTGACAACAGGAGACTCATTACATACAAACAGATGGACAACGAAAAAGTAACTCAGGGGATTTACAAAGAGTGGCCAACACAAAACAAACCCAACCCTGATATGTGAGTCTTATCTCACACTCAATTATATGGTACAAATACAGCACTGCAACATAAAACAGAGAGAGATCGCCTTAACTTTCACTTACCCGTTTAATAATGATTTGATAAGTTATAGTTTAAAATTATACCGTTTTCTTCTCTGAAATCTAATTATGTGTTCTCTGTCGCCATCTTGTGGATGGACAACATCAACCGTCTTTGCTCAATGACAAGCTAATGGTCGCCGAAGTGCTGTCCAAAATCAAAAATAGGCATTATCCTTATAAATAAACTGCATAGTTTCAATCTAAACAACTACAATCTCGACATTAAAAACAGCTGCAATATTTGTCAAACTGTAGTGAGTTTATTGATCTGCTGTCACTCTATGTGGGTGGAGTAATACAGAAGGATGAGGAGGCTGTTCGAGTTCTGATATTGCATAATATTAAATAAGCCAATCAGATTTGAGAACCAGACAGATCTCTTGTATAAATATGTATATATAAAATCTAAAATAACAGTTAATCTCTTTGCGGTTTAAACAGATTCTAGTTTTAAATATTTTACACGTTTTTATCGTCTGTAAATCACAATTTTAAAAAGTAAAAAAAATAATACAACAAGCACAGAGATTATACTTTGTTTAAAAAACTTCTAATCTAATCACATGTATGTTGTTTGGTATAAAAGAGTCTGCTAAATTAGCCAATTTAATATGCATATGAAACAACGTTTGCTTTGTGATACAAGTTGTATTATATGCTATACCTATTGTTTTGATGGTTAATTATTATAGCTATTATTAAGGTATTTATTTTTTTCGATAGTCAACAGAACAAACCATGGTTATACAATAACTTGCTTAATTACCCTAACCTGCCTAGTTAACCTAATTAACCTAGTTAAGCCTTTAAATGGCACTTTAAGCTGTATAGAAGTGTCTTGAAAAATATCTAGTCAGATATCATTTACTGTCATCATGTCAAAGATAAAATAAAGATGAGTTATTAAAACTATTATGTTTAGAAATGTGTTGAAAAAAATTCTCTCTCTTAAACAGAAATTAGGGGAACAAATAAAGAGGGTGGCTAAAAATTTAGGAGGGCTAATAATTCTGACTTAAACTGTATATAATTTATTTCGTTTTTTTTTTGTTTTTTTTACTGCAAGCTGTCTTTTTGAGAGCAACATTTGCAGGAACCTGCTGCTTAGACGTTATTTCATCCTTCCTACCGCTTTACACGAACTGGCAGCTCTGTAGGAGAAAGCCAGGGAACAAAATAAGACAAGAATATAGTTAGAGTGGGTGTAACAGAGAAATCCGACCAAGCTTTATCTTGTGTTGAGTCACAGTGGATAACTAGGCCAGTGTTAATTTTAATGCATCTTCACTCCAGAGTGAACCGAACTAAAGAATAACAGACCCAGTTTTCCTCTGAAATCACTCACACACATACACAAGCACACTCAGTGGTCATGTCGATGCCTTGACCTCAGGAGGAATTGGAGCACATGCCTAAACTACACGACGACGCACTCTTTTTTTGCTTTCGGCTAACGTAATTATCCGAGAGCCTCGAAATATACAAGTCACTGAACTCTACTCATTAAGGCATCTGAAAATAGGAGTATTAACCAATGAATCATGCAATCTGAAACATCAAACAGACACATACATGCTGCACAGTGGTCTCCTCAAGGTACTCAGGCATCTGAAGTGAGAACTGTGCTGGCGGAATCCAGATTAACTCGGGGGAAGAAGTGTGTGTGTGGTTTACAGACATCTTCATATGCGTGGAGTCCTCGGGAAGTTTGGAGCTCGGACATACTTTGTCGCTGCTTACTGGGTCATTATTAAGTGCCTTTGATGTCCTACAAGATTGAATCAGTCCAATATGAACAATGCGAACATCGCGAAATTCTGATGTTTTAATGTAGTTGGTTAAACAAATACACACATGCAGGAACAATTGTAAGTTTTGAAATATGTTTTTGCCCATTTTTGCCATATTCTTTCATTAAATGGATGTGATTTTGCCATGTCCCACACACTGCTCAGCCTACCTCAGTGAGTCTAAAAAGTAGGTATATTATATTATATTATATATATATATATTTTTTTTTTTTTTGAAATATTCTTATTGCTTATGACAAGTTAGATAAACTAAGTAATTTTAATAACATTTATTTTGTTTTTATAATATTAATAATCATTTTGCAAATGTCCTTGAAATTGCTGTCCACCCTGTCATTGATGTGGTAAATACTCCTTTAAGAAACCCTCTGATGTACTCATTGGCGTCCCCCATGCCCATTTTGCCTTTCTTCAGAGGAGGTTAAAGCATCTGCTGTGCACAAAGTAACTTTCTACACTTACGTTTCCTATTTTTCCTCATATTTTGTTTGAAACTGATTGTTGTCAAGCTTAACATGTCCACCACCTTGGTCCACCTTGTCATAGTGAAATATTAATTAACATTTTAAAAATTCAGAAATCAAAAATATAGCTTTTCAACTGTATACAATGAGCTTAAATAATCACTTTACCAGCTGCAGGTACAAACTGTTTTGAATAAATGCTATCTTTAGCCACAAATGTCCTCCCTGTTATTGTCCACCCTGTCACAAATTCTTCTTTGACATGATGGACATGTGCATTGTTATTGACACTTTATTTATTCATTTAATATTTTATTGTTAATTATTTAATGTTTTTATGTTACAACTTGTATACACGCATACAACACCAGTAGATGCAATAAATCTTCTATGTGAAGCTGCTTTGACACAATCTACATTGTAGAAGTGGCAATGAAGGTTATCTGTGCCTTTTTTTAATTTGTGCTTATTAAAGTTTAAATAAAATTATACAAAAATCGAATTTGGACACATCCAAGTACTTAAAGCGCAAATTAAATTAGTTTCCTTGGCTATCACTCCGCAGGAAGACAGAATGAGCAATTTGCTATTACTCTGACCTGTATATCAGAGCACTGGTGCATAAGGAAGTAGGTCAAGGCTATGGTAGGGAACATGTTTGCGGGCAATCACAGGTTTAATGAGCCTTAACATATTGCATCTCAAAAGCCTCAGGGTCACGCCCATATCTGACACACAGGCATTCAAATGAACAACTTCTGAATGTCTTGCACTTGAGGAAGGTTGGTGAGTTCCACCAACTGCTGGAAAGGCCAGAGAAACACTGTATACTTGAAGTTATTTGTAAATGTTTTAAAACAAAAACAAGTTCAGAAGAATTATAACGAATCATGTGTATAATTAAAATAATTTATTTTTATTCAGTTTTCATTTGTACCAGCTGCTTTGTATCGTGCAGGCAGAAAAACCACCAGGTGTCAGAGGAATGTCTTTCACTTGGTTTTGTTTGATTGGATATGAAACATTAATGCCATAATCATTGAAAGTGGATTTCCTGTCTGGTTTTGAGGCTTTGGAGGAAATGTTTGAAAAGGGATGCATTCAAGAAGAGATGAACATTTACTGACCTCAACAGAAAAAGAAACAGCACAACTTTTTCAATACAAACAACAGGAAAAGTTTCCCTCAGTAGAAAATTGAATAATGGTTTTAACCAATTCATGGGCGCAATGAAATCACAGCGCCAACTTGCAGCCGATAGGCAGCACTGCATGTCCTGACCTCAGCCTTCAAGGTCAGATGACAGGCTGCTGCAAGCATTCGTGTTTGTTTTGTGTGCATGTGTGTGTGTGTGTGTGTGTGTGTGTGTGTGTGTGTGTGTGTCCAAGTTCACTTCAAACTGACAGTGGAAAGAGAACAAAGAAAATGAAGACCGTTCAGTCTTCGTGAATGTTGAAAAGCTTGGCCACCTCATTCAGATCTGTATGTGCCTCTCCATCTTTGATTATCTTCACATAAACAGAAACAACAACAGATTAATACTCATTCCATATGCAAACACTGAAATGGAGATTAGGGCTAAAGCTGCAATTCTCATGCACATCTTGTCAGGGAAGCACAGATCTATAAAGCCTGGTTTATACTCGACATATCCGCTAGTTAGTTTGGGTGTGAGCGACAAATAGGACATCATGGCGGTGGTAGAGGTTTGCTTTGGTTTTGGTTCAATGTGATTTCGGCTGGCCGAGTGTACGACTTTTTTGTAACTTTGTGATTGACTCCATATCCAAAGATGTATGACTGAGTCAAGATGGGGGAATTTACACATGCAACACCTTTAGAAATCCAAAATTACTACCTGAGGTGAAGTCCTTTAGGTTTTCTTTGAAGCACTGAGGGAATGCATCAATTTTTGCACAGGTTTTCAAATGATTTAGATGTGTGCTTTTACGACAATTTGGTGGTCAAAAAAATGCACTGGAATCGCAGTAAATACTCGCTTTACAGACATAAGCAATGTATCCAAATAAAGCTTGAATAAAGATAAAAATTCCAAATATAGATTCAGTGCTGATTACAGAGCCGGCTTTACTGACAAAATGTGCATGAAAATCACTTTTCATCATAACGCAGATGTGAATGTTTTCTCTGCTCACCTTCCTTGCAATGGGCATTCTGTTGAAGACATTCCACAGAACGATACCAACCACCACCTTGTCCCTCAGATAAAATATTATTCCCTTCCCATAATCCTCCTTCTGCTGGACAGGAGGTGCGGGGGTCACTGTTCCCACCTCCAACACTCCAGCAACTGCCTCCGTCTCACTCTCTGAGCGGATTCCGGTTCCTGTAAACACCAAAAATGTGTATTTTGTTTACTTTTTTGGTACTATTGATGGAGCGATCTACATGCAAGCAAATGTTTGTGTACCTGATTGTTCAGTAGCAGCTTTTGGTGTGTCCTTGGCTGTGGCTTTAGCAAACACTCCAACAGTGGGCAGACTGCTGTCCACTATACCAATGGCTTCATATCCTACATCTGGTCCAAGATCGCTCCTGAAGACGAGCACATAAGAGGGCTCTCAGACTTAAAATAGTTAACCCACCGTCCTTTTAAACTCTGCATAGGTGGAATGCTGAGTATGAATACACTGATGTTTCTCACGGTGCACTCTTAAAACATTGCTTTACACAACTACTTTCAGCTTCGAGTTCAGCAAGTTACTAGTTTGCTATTATGTTGTTTTCCAGAGCAAACTTTTTCCATTCATTCAATTCAAGTTTATTTGTATTGCACAAATAATTGTTTCTAAGGAGCTTTACAAAACGTGCACATTATTGCATTATAATCAAAATCAGAGGTTAAGGTTATTAGTTACTATAACTTTATTAGTTACTAATAATTTAACTAATAACTAATTACTAAATCTTCATCAGGTTAAGTTATTAGATACCTGCAGGTTAACTGTTTATAAGTAATGTCTGTGTGTGTATATGTTCAATGAAGTGTATTAGCTTTTTCTTTTCGAACTAAAAAGGTAGAAATTAAATACTGTTCACTCCAATTGACACATTTTTAAATCACTATGAAAAACTTTTTTTTAAACAGCATAATTTTGTAATTCACTTCATATCTATTCAAGTTTCCACCAAATCGAGCAGTATTTCATAAACCCAGATAAATCGGCTACTAATTAAAAATTTTGTAGTGAATTATCTATTTTAACCTCTTCAGACCTGAATTAAGTTCCAAATTTCAGAAAAATGGGATGTCATGTGGCATCCATTGTAATGGACGCAGGGTCTGAAGGGGTTAAAAAGTGAGCTTAAGGTGTGTTTACCAGAACATAGACTGATGCCAGTAGGGTTTGTTGGCTCCGGTCATGTTTTCACCGGCCAGTCTGCCACTGACCACTGCGTGATCATGATGCTCCACACGCCGGCGGCCCAGCTTAATGTCATAGAAACATGCAGCATCTCCTGCCTAAAACACAAACATTTGCTATTATATTGACTTAAGTGCTTGATTCAATCAGATCTATTACAGCTAAAACCTTTTCAGAAAAACGGATTTCTTTCTTTTAGAACCATCTGTCTTCATGCTGTCTCCTGGATTGAGCTAATATCAGTAACATTATAAGACCCCCCCCTAATATAGCCTTACGTACCACCCAGATGTTAGAGCGAGCCTGGAGCTCAGCATTAACCCGATAGCCTCCGAAATCAGAGTCCACTTCCAGCCCGGCTGATTTGGCAAGCTCCACACTGGGCTCCAAACCAACTGCTGCCACTATGTGGTCTGTTTTCACCTAAATCAAACACACAAAGAAAAAAGCATTTACATTATTAATAGGGATGCCCTCAACTAAAGGTTTTCTTGTTTGACTAGTAATCATTTCTTAAGGGATCAGTCGTCTAAGTGAACATAAAAGAATAAATATTAAAAAACATTGATATGAGCCTTCAACTGTTTACACAAACTTTTCAATAAAACACTGATTGCATTTTCATGGACACCAACACACCAATTTTAGTATTAATAAGACAATACTCTTAATAAGAGTCTACCATGTAAACAGAGATTTCTGATGACTTTATTCGGACTAAAGCAAGGGTCTCAAACTCAATTCCAGGTGGGCCACAGCTCTGCAGATTTTAGCTCCAACCACCTCCACTCACACCTGCCAAATAGTTTGTAGTAGTCTTGAACACCTTGATTAGTTGGATTAGCTATGATTGATTAGGGTTGGAACAAAACTGTGCTGAGCTGCGGCCTTCCAGGAATCGAGTTTGAGACCTATAAACTAAAGTCATAATGGAACTAAACAGAAATTAATCCAAGATGTAAAGTATTCCCGTTTTAGTCGCTTTACTGAAGTGCAGTACAGACATGTAAACATCTTAATCAAACGATTAAGGCATTTTTGTAGTACTTTTTGCTGCATTTTGCGACAGGATGCACATATGACAATTGCCAGGTGTTTGACGACAAACAAATGAGAGGATCAAGCAAGAGACATTTTTGATGCGAGTGGGAAACAATGACTATGCTGAGAATTCTGGAAGAAATAGACATTGAAAAGTACTTCAGAGTTTGTCATGGGGGCATGGGTGAAAAGTTCATGAATGACATGGCAGAGGTGGCCTGCTGCATGAGAATTTGTATCAGCCGTTGTCTGTTTGCATGCATAGTGTAAGGAATGAACTGCAGTTGAACTTGTCACAAAACTAAAAAAACAAAATGACCAAAATCACATATGGTGCCATGATGAACACAAACTGTTGATGCATGAAACGCCAGAGGAAACAAGCATTGAATTAAGTTAATCAAACAATGTACTATAACATGTAAAACAGGAACCGAGGATAAAAGGAACATTCAAAAAGCAACCCATGTATATTATTGTCTTATTCAGATTATGGCTAATAATTTGATTACTGATGTCCATGTAAATATAGTCATTAAGATAAACTAGTGCATTCTCAGTTTTCATGTACAAGATTAAGCTTGCTATCAATGTCTAAAAATAGTTTATTGAAGATGATGAATGATGATACGTTGTTCACCAGATGTGCAGACAGCGTGATTCACTTCAAAAGATCCTAGCAATTTTTTAAATAATTGTTACATTTCTTCTCATCTCTTTATTATTTATGTTGATGCCATACATCTCTTTATTATCTCTATATATTATCTCTATATTATTATATAAAACGTTTACCCTTTTGTGTATAGCAAAAGTAATGTTTTACGAAAAAGGAAACTCACCAGTCGTCCGTCCTTTAGCTTGATCTCCAATTTGTCATTTTTGTAGGTCACATTTTTTACTACAGCATCCGTAATTACATTTACACCCTCTGTGAAAAGACAAAAACCTTAGCTGTCGCCAAATCACCAACATTTAATACAGACAATTAAGGATAAACAAACAAACTCCTGCATTAAACAGAATTTGAAAAGTACAACAGGTTTCAAACAGGTTATCCAAACATTGCCGAACACAAACACATGCCACATTTATTGAGGCTGTCGGGCTTCTCAAACAAACATCATTTATTTACTCTCTTACCTTTCCGGACTTTCTCAGTGGTCCAGTTACTCAAGTATTCAGGCAGCACTTTTCCCATGTTACCCTTCTCTGGGAAGAGCTGCATCACCTCTAAACCAGGGTCAGCAGCTACAGAGAAAATAATAATAGCATGAGAACATTTTAATATTTTTTATTGTATGATATGAATAAATACATTACCTAGTATTACATACACGTCAATAACAATCTCATGTATGTCATGACCCTACTACTAACAAGCAAGCACTAACAATGTTTATATCAAACTGATATATTACACACACATTTATTCACTAATTCACATATACATACATATACATATATACCCACACACTTTCCCCTGCTATCTCAACACTATGACCTGATTTTTCCCCCCTTCTTTTTCTCTGAGTGACAGCTGAGTGTTTGGACTCACATCTGCGACCCAAGGCACATGCAAGCTCGCTACCGAGAAAACCTCCACCGATGATGGTAATGGACTTAACCTCTCTGGAGATCTTCTCTAGAGATCTAAAATCTTCAATCTACCAAAAAGAACATATGAAGGTTACATTCTGGAACAAACAGATTCATGTAGACAGGATTTACACTTTTTTGCCACCCAAAAACATTTGTTTTTCAATCAATTTTTTTAGAACATACAGGATAAAATTTGTAAATATTTGACACTTGGTTAGATCACCCAAAAATGAAAACTACCACATTATCTACTCTCCCACATGTGATTTTAAACCTTTATGTGTTTTCTTCTTCTGTTGAACATAAGTAGATATTTTGAAGAATGCTGATTGCTGGGAACCATTGACTACCACAGTAGAAAAAAAAAATACTATGAAAGTTAATGGGTGCAAAAAGCATTTTTCAAAATATCTTCATTTGTGTTAAACAAATGAATTAAACTAAAATAGGTTATGAACAAGTATAAGGCGAGTAAAAAATATCAGAATTTTCATTTTTGAATAAACTATTCCTTCAAGCATAAAAAGTACTTTGTTTACTACAAAAAAGTATTTTATTTTGATTTGAAAAATTCACAGATTTTCTAAAACAAGATATAAGGACACAAATAACGCTAATATCAAGAAAACATAATGCAAATGCTGAAAATCCTCTGTTTAAAGATAAGAAAATGTACTCTTATAAATCATGTGCTACAGATTTGCATAAGACTGCCCTCCAGTGGAGTTCTGCACATTAACATTTCCACATTTAGCTTCTCATGAGATGTTGTGCATGTGCATTTGCCCTTAGTAAAGGAGCTCAACTTAAAAAAAAAACATGCTATTCTGCTTCACTAGTATACAGTGTACTGACACTGTAGATTTCAGCATAATCTGATCTTGACCCTGATGATTTTATTCAGTTGACCAATATTACATATAACATGGAAATTAATTCAAAACCATTTAATATCCATACTGTGAATTGTTCGTGTGAAATCTTATTTTTCAAAAAACAAAACAACAACTGGAAATAAACTTGATTTTATTCATTATCATGAGGAAAGCTTTCTCTGTCTCAGTGATTTACTGCATGTTGATAAAGATTTTTTCTCTGTTATGGAATAACTTCAACCTCATGTCAAAAATGTATGTATTATAATTATATTTATAACATTATAAACAAAATGTATTAAGGCAATCAAAGTGTCTAATTTAATATTAAAAATAACAATGTGATTAATAAATAAGAAATATGTTCAATCATTAATCAGTGCAAAATATACAATTACATTCTTTTCAAACCTGTAATTTATAAAAGAATACATGATGCTAAGTAGTATTATTAAATGACTAAAAAGTTAAAAATGGGTAAAGCCTCATGGTTTTAGGGATATTAGCAAAGTATAAACATGTAAAAAGAAAATTATTTCACATTTTTTCTCTAATGTCATCAAATCAAGACATACTTTTCTAAAGAGGGTTGTCCTCTTAATGACCTCTTCTCCTGCTCTGTCAATAACCTGCAGGTTCCTCGGCACCCCACCTAACACACACGCATACATTTACTTGATACACTAACAAATTACATTCACATCTCAGCATGTGTGTTTATGTTTTACCTGTGGCAATGAGGCACTTCTCATAGGAGATCTCTGAACCATCACTCAGCTTGACTTTATTTCCTCTGACATCCATGTGCACCACCTACACCACGAGTATAAACACAGACAGGGTAATAATGAGGACGGTTCATCCATACACACTCAAGCATTCATGAAAGATTTCCTCCTCTTCTGTCACAACAAGATTTTCTACACACACACACTCATGTGAATATAATTAAAAGCATAGTTAAGCCCACAAGAGGAGTAGATGCTGATGTATCTTACCTTACTGTCGGTGAGCACAGCCACACCACCGTTCTCCACCTTGGCAAGATCTGCAGGACTGACGTAGAATGAGGGAGGCTGGAAGTAAATACTGAAAAAACAGAAACAAGTAAAAACCACATTCACAGCCTGAAGTAATAAAAACAAACCACAAAATTCGAATCCTGATTTAATCTAAAACTAATAAAGCCTAGTTTAAACTACAGGATTTTTAGTTAGTTAACGAGTTGGAAGTTAACGAGTTAGCAGACAGCAACAACGTATCAAAGAGGCTTGCTGACGTGTTGCCAACAGCTTGCAGACGAAAATCCAATATCTAGCATGCTGAATATTCCAGAGCAGTCGGCCGACTCGAACCCAAGTGAGGTCAGATGTAGTGAGAGAGAGAGCATATCAGCATAAGCTGAATGGCTATTGTGCTCAGGAGCTCAACAAACATCTGTGATTGGCCAGAAGTGGCATCGATGCACTCCCTTCATACTGTGTTAACACAGATACGGGAGTAGGCTATATTAACAGTGAAACTAGAACTCTGTAACTATTAGAATTACCATACTGCTCATTCTGACCGTTCTCATACAAGACGTCATGTTATCACGTCATATTTACAATCAAAGCTTCTATTGAGATATTAAAATTAAGTCACCTCATCATATTTTATAACACCATTACCCTAAAATTATTATCTTTTTGGTAATACAGCCTATAAATACGTATTTAAGATACTAGAACACTCAAAGGGGTGGGCCTGACTTTCGTTTTCCCTTTCAAACAGGAGCTATTTTGCGGCTCAGAATATGCTGCTTTGAAATATATATCTGAAGTAAATTTCTGTTTTTGATACATAAAGTTATGTTTATGTTAGGAGATTGCTAGGCAAAAATGCATGCATATTTAAAGTCACAGCGAAAAGTAGCAGACATGCATGCAGTCATTTTGAGCAATATGGTAATTAAGGGTAGAAATGCTCAGTTCTATCAGAAACGTCAGGGTGTTATCAGGGTATGTGCAGGAATCCTAAAGGTATTTACAATATCTTTTTAAGACTTTTTAAAGACCTCAGAATATATTAAGACCTCATCGCCACTTCAAGTTCTGGACAGTATCAAACCTTTAATTTAATAAACAGTTCTTGTTAAGTAAATCAATGGAGCACAACCATGCAAGAGAACTCAGAAGCAAAGCTTGAAAGAATAAATTACACGATTGTTTTCAGCGTAAGCCTTCAGCCAATGTTTAAACTTATCTTTCTCCAACCAGGAGTACGCAAACTAACATTTTCCCATTTTGCCATCTGTTTCACTCTACGGATTCACTACATGTGGAGAGCACCAAATCAACTTCCTGTGTTTGTCGCAAATTACATGACATGACCATGGCGGAGGAGCTTGGCCAAATGCACACTGGGCTGAACCAATCACGTAGATCAAGCATGCTGTTGTTAATATTAGGAGGAAAATAAATATTTTTATGCCTTTTTGGAGTCAAACTCAAAAATTTAAGACCTCGTAAAAACAAGAATAAAACAATACATTTTAAGGGCCTTCATTTTCTCGTAATTGATTTGTCAACTTTTATTACTTTAAGACCCTGCAGACACCCTGGTTAAAGATGGTAGTTTTATTTCAAAGAGTTATTAAATTACAAGAATTAAAAACTCTCTGACTGCCTCTGTAGTGTGAGTGTTAAAGCCACATCTCTCCACTTGAACCTTGCTGTCAGTGATGTCAGCACACAAGCAGCCAATAGTGTTCAGCTTTTTCTGATGATCCTCCCTAAAAATTTAATTGGCTGTGGTTTGGTGGCTTGATTGAGCTTTTGGTGAACGAGTTGTTTTCAGATCATGTAGTTTGAACGGCACAGCGATCTGCCGATGTTTAAAGTCATGTACTGTAAACTAGGCTTTTGCCGAGTTCAGACTGCATGATTTTCAAAGTAGTCGTGTCACAGATGTTTTCACACTGCATGACTATCTGGGCTAGCGTTTTGTCCCTGCTTTGTTTACACTGCAAGATAGATCAGCGACAGGGCTTTGCATGACTTTACAATAGGAAGAATCGCCGACATCTTCGTCCAAACTATGTCTCACAACCAAAAACACGTAGTATATCTTTTGTTATTAATTACATAAGGAGAAAGAAGTCTTTAATGGGGTAGAAAATGTACATATTTGCTCACCTGGGTTTGAAGGCAATTAGCAATTTCTCCCCAACTTTCTTTTTTGACCCGGTTGTGATATTGCTCACATGACATGACAAACAGACACGGGTGCTTCTGCCAAATTTACAATAGTTTTTCCTCCATTTCTTGGGTCCAAATAAACTGAAAATGAGCACTTTTAACTTATTCTCCAGCCTCCCACTGGCCTGCAGGTACACACACATACTAGTCTAGTGAATGCTGCTCTCTCATTGGCTGTAAGTGATCGCTGATGTTATTTTCAGTCAAAACTCATTTCACAAGGCATGATTTGAATCGCCGACAGCTCCAGATATTTAGCATGCCAAATATCTCACAGGCATCGGCGACTCATCTGCAATTCTCTCAGATCGCGTCTTTGATAGTTCACATTATGTGATTGTCACTCACGTGACCAAGCACCGATTTTCCTGTGATTTCAGGCATTTGTCGGCGATTTCTCATAACCTGTCGGCGAGTCAAAATCGGGGCTAAAATCATGCAGTTTGAACTCTGCATTAATCGGTTAATCTTAATGACTCGGACACGCACCTCCTTTCTTTGCCGTTCCACTGTTTGAAGCGCAGTGATTCTGTGACTTTGGGATCATCAGAGAACCAGAGCTCTTTAGAGAGAGGAGGTCTCATGTAGGGCAGGTCTGACTCCTCTGTGATAATCAACACCTGTGCATAAAAGCCATTAAAAACATACACACTTTAGCATCTAAATATACTGTGCATAAGGGATATATGTATAGTGTTTTATTTAAAAAAATTACTATTCACCAAATTTAATTGACTATTTTTGTTTCGCAATATATAGGCATAAGAATAGGTATATATATTATATGTATAAATATAATTATTATATTTACAAAAAATATAACAGATAATATAATAGGAATAATAGGTATGTAGTTTGTATTGACAGCTTGAATCGTTTTTTTATTATACTTTGCAATTAATTTTATACTTTTACAATTTGGTTTTATTAGGGCATTATGAAATTTTACGGTTTTACTGTATTTTTGATGATATTTTAGATGAAACTTTTTCACCTAACTTTATTTTTTTTTACCAGTTGTTGTTTGTTTAATTATTTAGTTTTTGTTTCATTTAACTCAATATTAATACTTACTATTACTACAAATGTAATAATCTATGATAATCATAACTTTACTGACAACCTTCTGATTGTTTTTAAAAATATGAAGACAAAAACAGTGTTTATACAACCCAAATAACATTAAAAACAACTATACAGAAATAAAATAAATCCTCACTTATGTTATCAAATTTAAACAATTATTTGAAAATAATAATAAACAATAATATATCAATACTACCAAGTTTTTGTTACTATGACCAATGGCAACTATTTTATTCGGGGTGGGGGGCTTAAGCAACCCTTTATTATGATTGCCCACCTTAGACATTCTGCTAACTTTAAGTAATTTAGAAACTACATGTCAACTAATTGTCATTAGAGTAGACACTTAACTGATTAGGTAGCCTTGAGCTACATGTCAGCTTATTCTATTAACCCTAAACCTAATCCCAACCAAACAATCTGCTAATGCTCTACTAACACTTTAATGAGAGTCACTTAAGATTTACATGCAATGTTACTTATGAGTCAAAGTCAAAAGCAGATTTTTAAAAATTTGCTTTTCCAAATATAAATATTATATATTATATACATATAGACAATTGTCATTGGTTCATGAACATTTATAACTGTGTGACGAGACAATTTAATCATAACATTATTTATCAATATGTGGCTCTTTTTGGATTTTTGGAGGCTATAGAAATTAAAAATGTAAAACGGCAAATAAGTGGGGACAATTGTTTTAGTTTCCATCCCTCAAAATGGTCTATATAGCGTAACACAAGGTTTATCACCCTCACATTTGGTAATTCCTGTCAAACTCCTGTTTCCATTTGTCACTAACCCCTTTCAAACTTATGGACTTTTCTGGAAATTTAGCAATATAATTGTATGAATCAAGTTGTTCCGGCAATTTCCATGAACAATAAGTTACTAGTAATTACATTCCTAGTAAATTGCCAGAATTCTGCTGTGTGTGAACAGCACGTTATTAATTTACTGATAAAGGCACTTCTGTAATTTTATAGCAATTTACCAGCATTACTTTGTGAAACGGGCTAACAAATACAGTTACGCATGAGCTTTATCATAATTCTGCCTGACTATGACCAAACTCACCCTGGCACCAGGGTCACGTGCACGAATGGAGCGAGCTGCAGCGAATGAAGCCGTGCCTCCACCTATGAGCAGGTATGGAGCGTGTTCAAGAACATCCAGGTGAGGAGCAGTGGGATCAATCGGCTCTGCAGCAGGAGCAGCAGCAGGACTAGTCTCAGGAGCTGCAGCAGGCCAGAACAAGAAAACTTTAGTACAAACACACTTATGCATGTAAACAAGCTTATCCTGATCGCTAAATTAGACATGTGAGTGCACTTAAGATTATCTGTAAAAAAATATGTGCGGGATCTCAGGAACACAGTGCTAGATGAGGGGAGAGATTAGCATTTTTATAGTAATATTAGCAGAAATTGAACATCAGGTAATCTGGAAACACTGCTGAAAATTGGTCATAAAGGCCCTGATATACACACAGCAAAATAAGTTTTTGTTCTTTATTTAGGAGTTAACAAAAATTTTGAATAAGTTGAAGAGTGACATGGTATTGCTGAATGCAGTCAACCCATAAGAAAGGAGAGTTTAGATGAATGTGTGAACTGTGATGTTTCTAGTCTTAATAACAAGATTAGCATTAGAGCTGCATTGATTTTGAGTATGTGACTTTTTTTTTTGCCAACTCTTAATATATTTACTGGCCACTTTATTAGGCATACCTTTCTAGTATGGGGTTGGACCCTTTTTGCCTTCAGAACTGCCTTAATCCTTCGTGACATAGATTCAACAAGGTACTGTAAATATTCCTCAGAGGTTTTGGTCCAAATTAACATGATAGCATCTTACAGTTGCTGCAGATTCGTCAGCTGCACACACGATGCGAATCTCTCGTTCCACCACATGCCAAAGGTGCTCTATTTTATTGAGACCTGGTGACAATGGAGGCCATTTGAGTATAGCGAACTCAATTTCAAATTCAAGAAACCAGTTTGAGATAATTTGAACTTTATGCAATGGCACAGTATCCTGCTGAAAGTAGCCATCAGGAGATGGGTACACTGTAGTCATAAAGGGATGGGCATGATCAGCAACAATACTCAGGTAGGCTGTGGCGTTGAAACGATGCTCGATTGGTACTTATGAGCCCAAAGTGTGCCAAGAAAATATCCCCCACACCATTACACCACCAGCACCAGCCTGAACCATTGATACAAGGCAGGATGGATCCATACTTTCATGTTGTTGACGGGAAATTCTGACTCTACCATCTGAATGTCGCAGCAGAAATTGAGATTCATTAGACCAGGCAACCTTTTTTAAATATTCTATTGTCCATTTTTGGTCAGCCAGTGTAGATTGTAGCCTCAGTTTCATGTTCTTAGTTGAGAGGTGTGGAACCTGATGTAGTCTTCTGCTGCTGTTGCCCATAGGCCTCAAGGTTGAACGTGAAGTGTATTCAGAGATGCTCTTCTGCATACCTCAGTTGTAACAAGTAGTTATTTGAGTTACTGTTGCCTTTCTATCAGCTCAAACCAGTCTGACCATTCACCTCTGACCTCTGGCATCAACAAGGCATTTGCGCCCACAAAACTGCCACTTACTGGATATTTTCTCTTTTCAGACCATTCTCTGAAAACCCTAGATAGTGGTGCGTGAAAATCCCAGTAGATCAGCAGTTTCTGAAATACTTAGACCAGCCCATCTGGTACCAAGAACCATGCCATTCAAAGTCACTTAAATCACCTTTCTTCCTTATTCTGATGCTGTTTGGACTGCAGTAGATCACTTTGACCATGTCTTCTTGCCTAAATGCATTGAGCTGCTGCCATGTAATTGCCTGATCAGAAATTTGCATTAAGCAGCAGTTAGACAGGTGTACCTAATTAAGTGGCTAGTGAGTGTATACAATGTATCATTCTATTATTTAAATAAATATACTATTTCTAAAATCTGTTTAAATGAATGATTAAATAATTATCTCCCATAAACTTTACAGCAGGTTTCATTATTGACAAACTACATTTTTGATGAATCCTGAGCAAATTATTTAGTGGGATATATATTATACACCTACTGCTGAAACAACGTACTTACTACAAGCATTAAATTATGTATTAAGTTGTTTCAAGTATCAAGCTCTCGATTTCAAAATAAAAGAAGGTGGGGCCTACCAATTCCATAATCACCACAGACCACGCTGAATGTATTTACAACTTGATTTGTCAAAAAAGGTTTGTTTTTCAATTTAATTTGATGTATTTCAAGGCCTTTAGTGTGTGACCTTGTACCATTAGCTTTAGTCATTAGCATTACAACAGTCACACTATGACAAAACAACCTTTCAAAGAAATGAAGTGACTGAGAAAAGGACATCTTTCAAAAGAGGAGATGACAATGTGGTTTATATAGTCAAAAATAATAAAAGATCTTAAATGAAAAAAGAAAAATGACCAAAAAATAAAGGTGTCCATATGTGTATGAAGTACTTATAACTATCTTTATCGATTACGTGTTTAATCTGCAGAACTGATTCCCATCCAGTGAAACCTGGACTCTTACCACTCTCAGAAACAGATGAAGCCTCTGGAACATGCTCGGTGCTGACTACAGGTACAGGCTCTGTTTATAATCCCAATGTAAGAGGAGAGGAAAGACGTTAACCTCAATTTCAAAATAAAAAAACAATCCTGGATTTCCATTCAGATGTGTCAAGCTTACCACTCTCAACCACAGGAGCTATTGGCTCTTCACTCTGTATAACTTCAGGAGCTTCTGCAACAGTTTCCGTTGCTGTAGCTTCAATAATGGGTTCCTGAACAGAGGCTTCAACAACGGGTTCCATTAATGGGGATTCAATAACGGATTCCGGAACAGAGGCTTCGACAACAGGTTCTGTTACTGCAATTTCCACAGCGGGTTCTGGAATAGACGATTTTACAATAGGTTCTGCCACAGCTTCAGGTGACTCCACAATATCTTCTGTTACTGGAGATTCTTCAACAGCGGGTTCTATCAGAGTTGGTTCTTCAGCAACAGGTTCTAATTCCACAGAATGAGTAAAACAAAATGAGACAGAAGATTTGGGTTGGATTCCAAAAGTGCTCCAACATCTGAAGCAGAACTATAAATGATAACTGATTTGTTTTATTGCCCTAAATCCTGAAACTTTCAAGCTTTGTAAACATGTATGGGTTCTTCGGTTTGGGATATGTTCTTCCTGTTAAAGAGTAAAAAGATCCAGGAGCAGGAATGAACTTGATGGAAAGGGGTAAAATGATGAAAAGGGGTAAAAACATTGGGAAAAGGGCAATAGTTAAGGATGAATGTGAAGGTGTCTTCATTCACTTCTTGTCTGAGTTGCAGCTTTCCTGAATGATCCTCCTTCGCATTTGGGGATGACTATCATGCAACCAAGAAGCATGTCATATATTCTGAAGGAGTTTTCTGAACCATTTTCAGAATTTTTCTTGTGGCTTCACAATCACTACATTAAATTCCTTCCATGTCTCTCTGAAAAACTCAAAGCTCCTTGTTTGCCATTTATTTATTAATATGTGTAACTGCTAGCACGGAATCTTCTGTATTAACAGATACTGAGGCTGGATCAATGTGTTGGTGCCAAACCAAAAGTTCCAACAGAAATATATGGAGCAACAGGAGTCCTGTTGAGTGTTTCTTCAAAAGCTTCATTGTGCAAAACAGACAATCCAGAAAAATGGCTGGTCTAGCCATCTAAAGTATTTCCAAACACTTTAAAATTGAAAAGTTAAAACAAGGCAATGAGCAAGACAAAAAAGCCTTCTTCAAAACACTAAGGAGTTAGTGTGACGAATAGAAAAGGAGGAAAGAAAAAGTGGTGACCATGTGGTGAAATGTTGGTTTGGTGATGACAGACAAAATGTGATGCAAAATATAGAACTGACACGTCTATCAACAATGAAAGAAGAACTTCATAGAACATCACCTCAATCCAACCGCTCATGGCTTAAAGAAAGCTTGGATACAATTTGCACCATTTTATAGTGATAATTCAAAATAACAAAGCAATTAAAGAATTGTGAATACAATCAATGAATAGTCAATCGGTTGAATGAAGAATGTCAATGAAGTTACCCACAGTCACACTAAAACAAATGCTGACATAGAGAAGACAATGTATTCAAAGAAATGGAAGGTAATGATGACAATTCTAAAGACAACGAACAGTTCACAAGTACATGGCAAGGGGAATGTATACAAAAATAGAAATTTTAGAAAAGTTAGATGACATTTAAACAAGTGAAAGTTGTTAATAGGAAAAGAAGGCACATGCTGTATGAAGCATGCAGAAACCCCCGAAAGCATGCACAACTGATTGTGACAGCTCATGTACATTTTAGGTATTTTACTTATAGGAATAATAGTTATAGGAATCAATAATGGGAATCAGCCACCAGGAGATTCCCTCTAAATTTTGCCCTAGCGCTATTTTCCTCAATACATTTGCACTATTAATATAAATTCTAAACTGATATAAATCTGCCAACAGCAGCTTTGAAGTGCTGCAATAAACACAGAACTAAAGTATGAGAGGTACCTGGATTTCACAATCTGTCCATGTATTTATTTATTCGCAGGTGGCAGAATTTTGTATAGTGTGCATTTATCTAGTCAATGCATGCTAGTACAACAGACCCTACTCTGTTAGATGGAAATTTTCTACCCCCAAAACAAGTTCCTATAACTAACCTGAAACACAAGTACTTCAAACAATAGCTGTTACAAAAAACTTAATAAGTCTTCTATGATTTTTACAATATCCCAAAAAGACTCAACCGAAAGTGAGGCTTAGTATCTACACAAAACAACAGACCAAACATCCAGTTGCTTTTTTGAAAAATCCCCAGATGACAGCCTATAGTCTATAAAGGGACTAAACAGCAACGGTGAACATGCAAACAGCATAGGGTTCCATCAGAAACTGTTGACTTTCTCTGTGGTTTCACTTAAAGCCGATGGTTGATCAATTGACAAATGGTCCAAGACCATCATAATAGGCTTTCTTTAAACCTCAAATCATCCACTTAATGCCAAAGAGTTAAACATGTTTAGCCTCTACATATAACTTCCAGTGTGATTCTTATTCATATGCAGGGCTCGAAATTGCGACCATTTTAGTCGCATATGCGCCCGAAATTTAAGCTATGCGACTCATAATATATATTGGGAGCATTTGTGCGACTGCATATTATGGTTGTAGTGCGACCAGTTTTTGTTTTTTTTTCTAAAAACGTGGTAAATTCACTCTTCCCTGCCGCTATATTGGTTCATATTAGCCGTCAATCACTCAAGACTTTCCGCTGTCAGATGACAGGGAGGGAGCTTTTGTGACCACGGGGATTGCAAACGGCTGAAGAGTGAAAAGTACACTGAATCTCGATGCGTTGTATGCACTGCGTGTTTAGCCAACACAATCTCACGGCAATTCATAACTTTTTCATACGTTTCCTCGTGAGCAGGCTGCAACAGCGCAAATGTCCGCTAAAACACCATCGCCAAAGAAGCTTGCCTTTACTAAGTTTGATCTGATGCGGCTTATAACAAAGAACAGTATTGCGCCGGTGGGCATCGGGGGAATCCTGCTCTGCCCCCCTCGTATTGGGCCGGCTGACTCGCATGCTTTCCCGCAAACACAGAAAATTGTAATTCAGCGCATAAAGAGGCTGAGCATTAAAACGACACGAACCGAAACCAAAACTTTTAAACGTGAGGCTTTTCTTCCTTTCTTTTGTCCGTTCTTTCTTGAGGTGTATATTATTTTTCTATTTAATTACTGATGACTGCTTTGCAGCTTTCAGCATTGGATTAAATGATTTATTATATTATTTCGTTTGTTTTGTAGCAGAAATATTATTTATTAAATTGGCATGCATATAAAAACAATAGTACAAAATAAATATTTCTTACTACAATGCTTCATTTGTGTTAGATGCAAACCATCAATTTATTTTTCATTTTTCATAAATTAACAGTAGGACTTTATATAGCAGATAACTTGCATTAAAGCACATTTAAGGCATCATGATGATGAGAAATATAATTCATTATTAGTATTATTGTCATCATCATCATCATCATCAATAATATTTTATAATTATTCAACATTCATTTTGGAATTGTTGCACAAATATTAAGTCATCACAGCATTAGTTAGATAGTTGTTTCTGGGTTTTGTTAGTCCCAATTGATGTTGTTTTCAAATACAATAAATCCCTTAATATACAACTTGTCAAATATATCATTCATTTTTGGTGGATGCTCCTAATTTTTTTCTGGTGCTCCTAATTTTTTTCTGGTGCTCCTAAATATTTCAGGTTGGGAGCACCGGTGCTACCAAGTAAGAAAGTTAATTTCGAGCCCTGATATGTGTTTATTTTTAAAAACGTAATATTCCATTTAAAGCTTTTTGACAGAATACATAAATAACTGATGAGAATGCAGAACTAATGTGAAAGATACATTTATACTATGACTTAAATACAGGCATTAACATTTTAAATCACTTAAAACATTTTTAAATTACAGCTATGTTACCATTAATGCAATTATTTATTATATCGATTAATGTCATATCTTAAAATCTACTATTTTAGTATATTCATGTTGTTATTCCCTTCCCAAGACACATGTGCTGTGTTATCCTTCATTAGCGGGACATTCTGTGCATGCTAATATCCCTAGGTTGCTCCACTGACATAGGCAAATACCATCCAGTGCCATGAAACCTCAGAGATCGTCGGTAAAGGCTGAGAATAATGTGTATATGAATGCAGACAGATAAGAGAAATCTTATACTAGAATGTAGAAAAAATGTCTCACCTTCCTTTGATTCTGCAACTTCAGCTTAAACAAAAAATACAACATACCACTAAATTTAACTAAAATAATATGCAGAATATAAAAAGACAGAGACACTGAGAACTCTTTGAAATGAAAATATACTGAGAGAGCTGGTAATTACTTAATGTGTAACTAGCAGGCATGGCATGATAACTGGTTTTAAGATTTTACATGTTTTTTGCAACCATTTTATTTAGTTTTTAGGGCAATAGTATCTTCAGCAGAAAATGAACTTCTACATCAAAAGCTACTGGTTCAAAATATTTTAAAGGTTTCTTGAAATAAAAAATAGTGTTCAATGGTGGGAAAAAGTTGTCGTTTTTAACCCAGACATTTAAAAAGAAATTATTTTTGAGCAGTAATCACAATACCATGATACCGTGAAACCTTGATATTTTTTATCAAAGGTTATCATATCATCAGAATCTTATACCAGCCAATGACTAGTAAATGGTCTGTTTAGCATTTTGACTTACCTAAAGCTTTAGCAGGCTTCGACTCTTGACTTTGTCGACTGGCAATTTGTCTCATACGCTCATTATACCTTTCACTGTCCTGCGAGACGGTGCGGTATGCCTACAAACAAACAAAAATAATAATAAAATAAACACTCATGTGAACTGCACGAAAAATATTTAAAGCAACATCATATTTAAAAAAAAAAAAAAAAAAAACTTTAATTCTCATTCCTTCTGCCATGTATTATGACATAAAAATGTACTTCAAAAATATGATGGAAATTTATAACATTATTTATTAGAATTACAATTAGGGCTGCATGATGTTGAAAAAAATATAATATTGCGAAATTAGATTTTTCTGTGATAAATTTTGCAATATAAATACAGTTTTACAAGATAGTTGAATAGCACTATTTAACAGTTTCCCGGGATGTCTAACAGTATTCAAGTACAGAAATTCAATAATCACAATGCAAAAAATTTTTAGTCTTATTTTTAGTCAAATATTAAAACATTTCTTAGAACAAGTAAATATATAGTTTTTTTCACATTCAAAATAAATGAGTAAAAATTAAAAATCTTTCCTTAAAACATACAAAATTATCTGCCAGTGGGTTAAGCAAAATAATCTTGTTTACGCTTTGAGATTTAGATATTTGGACTAGAAACGACACAAAAGTCTTAGTAAGAATTAGTTTTTTGCATAAATCGTATAAAATCTGTATTAATACAGTAACTGAATACAGTTCTGTAGCTTCTGGTCAACTATAGACCTTTTTCTTAGAATGCAAAATTACCCATTATGCTTTGCAGGTGTGCGCAAGGAGAATGCTAAGAACTTCCGGTCGGCAGCTGATGCGTATAAACGGTCACATTTGGACAGCTTTGAAACGATAGTTTTAATCTATTTTACCTGCTTTTATCATCTATGAACTATTACTGTTGTCGATCAGCGCCACCTGCTGGACTGATCGTTTAAAAAAATGTGATCTAATAGGATGGAAAAAAGCTGCTGTGAGGCATTTTTATCCCACTGTCAGACGGCATCTTCTGCCCTATAAATGAAGCCTCGTCAGAGCTAAAGTCAACAGTTTTTCTTGCTTTCAAATATAACCAACCCAAACAAATGTAATTCACCAAAATGTTTGAGAAACACACGTAGCCTACTGTACTGTCCCACTAACACACTGATTTAATAACTGTGACAAAGTGAAAAGGCTAGTTTCATTTCAAAATGACAGAAAAACACAAACCGTGGTAAATACAACACACACAAAATGAAACTTAAAAGGCTCGCGATTAGAATAAACAAGAAATCAGCCAGCAGAGTATCACAGACTTTTATTGGTCATTTTTGTAAATTGTATGACTTACATATCTGATAAGTTTCATGCCAGTTATCTGGTTTGCTCTATAATGCAGTGAAGTATTGCGTGTGTTTGCGTGTGTTTGCGTGTGTGTGTGTGTGTGTGTGTGTGTGTGTGTGTGTTGAAGAGTCGCTGGGAAACACACACACACACACACACACACTGTATTTCTGACGGCGGACACGTGAACTAGGAGAACATTTTTCTCTCGCACTTGAATCACATCTGACAGACAATAACGGCTTTAACAGACACATTTCTAAGATGTGTGTCACAAAAACACTCTGTAATACATTAAAAACGCTACTGAAACCCATTTTTGGAGCGCAAATTACTTATTGTAAACACTGTAAACGGAAGTTCTAACCATTCTACCAGAAGACGCTGGTTGATATGGCACCCTCCAAGCAGCAGCCAAGAAAAAAGTTTATTATTCAGACTCAACATTAGACTATGTGACTATTGCAGATGCACACACTAGAATATTGATGCTGAAACTATATATTGTGTAGCCATAATTATAATGTAGAGAACTGATTCAACTTTTCATCCAGATTGGACTGTGTTAATATAATTAAAAAAGATTATGTGATAAAGACTGCCTCATGTTAAACTTTGAAGACAAAAAGTCTGATAAAAGTATTGATAGACATCAAAATGTACAAACTAACCACAATGAATCACCCATTAAAACAGAAACTAAAACAGTGTTGTTTATCTATTAAAGGCCACAATGCCTACACAAAAACATGCTCGGATAACCATTGATTAATTATTGTTATCTGGGGAAATATTACACACTAGAAAAAGCATCATTATTTTTTGATGTATCGCTCCCCACACACATGGACTGTTAATATGGGGCTGAAGAAGATAGTCTTAAGGGTACTTACATAAATGCCTCCCCCCAGACATGCTGCTCCAACCAGGACAAAATACACAGCATTTTCCCCACCACCTCCTGGCGGCCCCGATGACATCTGGGCCCTCTGAACCATCTCCAGCCTTCTGCCATGTCTCAGGACTGAGAAGACAATCATAAAAACAAGGAAATTCTAAGTCCAGTTCAATAATTCAGGTTTATTTGTATAGTGCTTTCACAATACTTATTCTTACAAAAAAAAGTGCTTAATCCTTTGACAAAATTCTGTACATGTGTCATAAACCTCAAATATTACTGAGTTATCCAATCCTTAAGCTACATTATTTTACCATTTACACAGTGGAAATACACCTTTTTTCCAAATAACAAATGTATCTGTCATTTTGTTTTAATCGGTTTTATTCTGTTTTATATTTTGTTTAATTTATTGCTGTTTATTAAGACCTCATGACAACTAATAGCATGCATCTCTTACGGTCTCCACATTAACTGAGTTTAAGACTGCAAACTTGTTTAGTGTACTACTGCACTTTTTTTTTTTTATTAACCTCAGACAGTGAATCTGTGTAGCCTGAGTAAGTAGTTATGTTCAGGTAGGATGAATTGAACATTTCTTAATTCTAGAATATATTACTCTAATTTAAAAATTGTCAAATCAGCTTATAATAATAAACCTGGTCACAAAATCTGGCCAATGATTGTGTCATGTTTCCAAGCCTTGGTGTATTTTAGGCCAGAGTTGTGGTGTATTTAGCCTTGATGAATTCAAGGCCAGAGTTATGTGGTGTGTCCCTTTGTGATCTTCCGATTGAATAATTTAAAATCAGGAAAGCAAGGGTGTACTAAGGGGTACAGTTAGCCATAAAAGGCATTAAAATTTTTTTTTTTTTTTTTCTAATAATGAATTCCTTACGAATTAATAAAATACAATGATTTTAAAATAATTAATGTAATATAACCAAACAGATATCGATATAAAGTTAAACTAAACGCATGAATCAGATTAACATAATATACAATAAAAAAAGATAGAAAAAATAACACAAATGAATTATGCAAATTATTCAAATAAATAAAAATGAGGAAAAAATTATTCCAATTCAAACAAAGCATCTAAATGAAACTGAAAAAATAACTAAGTATATAAATATTTTCCAAATAATTAAGACTCATTTGTACTATTATTTTTTAACAGTATAAATTGGGTTTTTGCACAAGAAACTATAATGCACTCATACTAGCATGATCATGTTTAGTAGTTTAATACCTTATGTGTAGCTTTTCACTTTAGGATTTTTACAAAGTTATATACATATTTATTATATATAGTTGTGGTTATAAAGCTACACACACACACACACATTTATAAGGAGTAAGGAATGTTGTAAAGAACACAAAACCAATATCTAAGAGTAATATTTAAAATACAAGTTTACTTATTTAGATAGCAACTAGCCGTGTTATTAGAGAAAGAGCCTGTCAAGTAATCCTCAATACTGTTGTCATGTAATTCAGCTGAACCTCAGCGTCATGAAGCTGTCAGAGCCACAAGTGTGACTTCATAATCACCGACCTTGGCACAAAAATTAATGCAGGTCCTCGCGCGCTCCAACACTGACCCACAAACAGTTTTTTTTTTCTGTCATGTAATGATATAGAGACTAGTGAGAATGCCCACAACGCGTATTTTGCTGGAATTGTGGGTAAGCTTGATCGTAGACACCACTGAATGAAACCGACAAATGTTTATCATTTAAATTAATTTCAGTGTCATAAGTTTAAGGTTTGACTGTTCGCGCGGTTAAATTATATCTAGCGTTTGCAGAGCACCGCACAACTCGCACCAAACTGGAGCTTTATCCCACTAGTGTTTCCACAGAAAGTGTGCAAGGCTTTCTGCGAGACTGAAATGAAGTTCGCAGGTGATTCGTGGAGCCGCAGACTTCAGCTCTGCCGCTTTTCTCAACTTGCCTGATTTCCTCGCATTCTGCAGACACAACGTGGACGAGGCCCGGGCCAGCGGAGCCAGCTTATTCCATACTGTCTTGCACTTGAACATCGCAGTGGAGCTGTGCTTCTCTGTGGAACAGTCTGAGGAAATTCACAGCCACGCTTACCGTGCAGCTCTCGCTCAAGGCCGGAGACCTTCTCAGGTCACACACAGCTGCTGTAGGCGCTTCCGCCATCCGCCGGAGACCCGCCCTCTTTGCGTGCTGATTGGCTACGGCTATAGTGGACTATTGAATAAATGGCTAGTTCTTCTGTCCGTTAATAATGTCAATGGGTTATTGGCTGTACGTAAGGTACGCCTTAAGGACGCCTCATGTCTTGTGACGAAAGACCGCCCAGTAAAAGTCCCGCTATATTTGTATTTACATTATATTTATATTTTAGGTGATTGCTTTCTCTTTTATAACTTTATACTGTTTCCACAATAAAAAGGTAAATAATGTATCAATAAACCACAATAATTGAGTGTATATGTGTGTGATGATAATAATAATAATAAGAAGAAGAAGAATTATTATTATTATTATTTTTATTATTATTATTATTATTATTATTATTACTCATTCATTTTCTTCGGCTTAGTCCCTTTATTAATCGCCACATCGGAATGAACCGCCGACTTATCCATTATATGTTTTACACAGCAGATGCCCTTCCAGCCACAACCCAGAAACATCCATACACACTCATTCACACACATATATGACAGTATACTCTACGGACAATTTCAGCTTACCCAATTCACCTGGGGGCTGTTCCAGAAAGCAGGTTATGTGACATACCCGGGTAAGTTTGAGAGTATGTAGGTGGATAACCTCAACTTTGGTTCCAAAATCGGAGGTAACTTCTGGGTATGTTAAGTAGCCATAGCAACTTACTCTCTGAAGATAACCTGCTCCAGAGCAGGTTATGTTCAGAGAGTAAGTTGCTATGTTTTAGAGTTTGTCTGTTTTAGAGAGTTTACTGAGCATTGCATGCTCTTTTGATGGGAATATTTATGGATATGGACACACAAATACAAGTTTTTTCGTTGTGAGAGGGTTATAAGTGCATAGTTTTTTTCATAACCAAATTCATAATGTCAATGTATTTAACAAACCTTTTTGAAATCAAATGTGACAAACCCCGGGTCTGCGCTTACCATAAAAAACATTCAGTGCAGCTCTTTGTATTCGCGTCAGGGCATTTTAGGCAACTGTACAATGTGGCAGTATGACCACCTGTACAGTATGCCTGGCACTGAACTGTTTTTTACACTTTCGTACAGTTCCTTGGTCATAAATCACTGCGTATCATTACACAGAAGATTCAGAGCACGGCAATAGAGTAGTGGACAGTGCGTCGATAAAGAACAACGGAGCGCACAACGGAGTGAGTTCGAATCTCACATAAAGATTGTGTGTTTTTTCTCTCCTTTTGCACCCTCACATTTCTGTATAATATTATAAGTGGCAGCTTTGTCTTTTGTAGGAAAATATATCTATAATTTAAGATGTAGGACGTCGTTCTTATATATATATACATTCACGCACACACACCTACATTTTTTAATATAATATTTTTTTCAGGGTTTCTAAATGCTATTGTGTGCATTAATTGCAGCCGATTTTAAAGCTCCATCAGTCACTAAAGGACACTGATAATATAAAATTTGTCCAAAGTATAAGTGTGCAGGTACAACTTAATTTTCTATCCTTAATCTTTTGATGTTTCAACTATTAAACTCATTACTGCTTCCACTTACCAGCTCATCACACACCCCACCTCATCACTATGTTGAGGTCAAATGGCTGATTGTCAGGAAATAATGATTCAAGTGTTTAATACAAATATAGTAAAAAAAAAAAAAAAACTATAAAGCAAATGTTGCTTAACACAATGTTTATTTTTATTATATTTGTATTATACAATAGAATCATAGGCACTACATTGTTACTTGCTGGAGGACAAAAGATACCCTTTTCTGCCTTATACGATGACACGTACCTGCAGCCTGACCCAGAGGAAATCTCAGTGACCCAAGCAGACAAAACAGATGGAAGAGTGCTAAAAAAATATTATTAGTCAAAAAACTATGTTTAATTAAATAGTTTGGTCTGTTCATTTCTTCATTTCCTGAAATAAAATGAATGATTTTGTACACTGCTTTACACACGCACCTTTAAACGTGTAACATATTTTTCATATACATTTCTCACCTTAAGTTGATGCTCATGTGACTTTATATTTGAAGATGGACCTTATACAGCTACTTTAGAATTTAAATATGTAGATAAAAGATTTTGTGATCCAAGAGTAATATTCAAATATGGAAAAGTGCAGAAAATTCTTACACTGCTTGTTAGTTGAGGCAGAAGGAACTTTGTCTGCATGCAAAATAAAAAGAACCTAAAGCTATCTGACAACAATCACTTACAACAGTGACAGAGTGTGTGGTTTAAGTCAAAAACTCAACCACTGAAAAGCCTTTATTATAGGACACAGCAGTTAGACAGGCCTCTTTCTATTAGCTGCATGTCAGAAAGCATATTCTAGAGTGTTAAATAAAGAGCTCCAGTAATTAAATATTACCTTTAATAATAATGTTTCTGTGTTTAATGACTTTGGACAGAGTTCTAGCTCCAGAAAGATTACAATTTCTATAAGCCTTATTTGTCAATACACATATTGTGGCCTTAAGAAATTAATGGAAGGAAAATTAAATGCATGAATGGTTACACAACATACTCAAAAAGGATGTTAAAGAGTAGTTTAATTTATCATTACAATAAAATGGAGGGTGGCATGTGTAATTTAATGAACTAATACATTTTCTTATTATTTATTTTTTATTTTCTTATCTATTTCTTATTCTATATTTCTTTCCTTCGTTGAAGCAGATGTGTAATCTCTGTGTTTAAAACCTCCAGCTTCGACTCTGTAAAGTGCGTTGCCCTTTTTTTCTTACCGTGACTTTCTATGGTGACTCGTGAATTCGGCGATCTACTGAAAATGCCTTCAGGTGTGTGCCGTGCACGCGCATTAACCCGCGGTTATCTTCAGGAGGTTGATTTAACTAACTCTTGTCACCTGTTTTGGAACCAACATACTCGCGGTAAGCAGGTTTTGGGTAAATCAACCGAGAGTTTAGGTTTTAGCAGATGGTAAGTTAACCCAGCTTTCTGGAATACCCCCCTGCACCGCATGTCTTTGCACTGTGAGGGAAACCAGAGCACCTGGAGGAAACCCATGCCAACACGGGGAGAACATGCAAACTCTACACAAAAATGCCAACTGACCCAGCCGAGGCTCAAACTAGCAACCTTCTTGCTGTGGGGTCCTTAATAATCCGTGCAGTCCTTAATAATAATAATAATAATAATAATAATAATAACCATTATTATTATTATTATCAGAGCCTATGACCCATACGTCTAACACTGATTGATTCAGTTGCATAAGAGTCAGAAACCTCTTTGTTCAGTGGTATTTGAAATATTTATATAAATACCATTAAGGAGAGTACAAACAAAAAAAGCTGTTAAAACTGTGTTTTTGTTTGACACGTTTAAGTTATTGTAAGTTACAGAAGCAGGCCTAGCATTATTTGTAATATTTTTTTTCTTTATTTGCTATTTTATTTTATTTTGTATTAGGCTATATATTGATTCTATGTAATTTTATATAACTCTTTTCTTATTTCTTATTTATCTGCTTTTCATATTTTTATGTACACCCCTGGCATTGTTTTGTATATGTCGTTCATGCATTAATGAAAAAATAAAATAAAAAGTTGCATAAGAATAGAAAGAACTAAACAAATTGTAATTCTTGTTGATTATAGCCGCACCAAATGACATATTCAGTGTGTGTGCGTAGACTAGGCACTGCTAAATTTTCTAACTCTAAAGACAATAAAAATAGCATTCCGACTGAACAAATGCCAACAGAAAAGTGTGAAACACCATCTTACAACACGTTGTCACATCACCAGCCTGACAAAGTATCACAAAGCTCATGGAATTAATGTGAGATTAACTAAATTATTTGATCTGTTTTCTTTTTAGCTTACCAATGTTCTGTGTAAAACAGTAGCTGGTGCAGTAAACGAAAAGAAGAAATGTCAAGTTATAGGCTATAAATCCGTTTAGTTTTTTTTTTTTTATATCAAATAGCCTTATACTGGAAGTGATCTTATGGCCAGGGATGGGCCATATTTGTGATATAAAAATTTCATAAAAGAGTATTTTTTAATTTGTATTTGATGGGGTTTGCAAATGGGTTAATAATTGATATCAAAATACTTTAGTGTCCTGTATTTTTAAAATATGTAAAATCTCTAAAAAGTCTACATGATGACATCATAAAATGAGGCCTCTGATTGATGCTTCTGTGTTATTTGCCATTGAAAATAGTACACTGCATAATCCTAAGACCTGGGGCCTGTTTCAGAAAGCAGGTTAAGTTAAAACTCAGAGTAGTTTAACCCTGAAATGAGAGAAACTCTGGGTTTTCCGTTTCAAAATGGCAGGTTTGTTAAACTCGAGAAATCAGGGTAAGTCAAGCCTGTTTCTGAAAGAGAGTTAACTTAAACTCAGAGTCAGTTACTGTGGTAACTTACTCTGTGAATCTAACCTGGTCCGGAGCAGGTTTTATTCTCTAAACTCTGAGTTTCTGTCGGTCTCCTCCCCTTTTTAAAGATGAAGCGGTATTTCTCGCATTAGTCTTATATTTCCACACACCTATTTTAGAGCTCCTTTTGGAGATGTGCATAAAAAAGATTGATGGAAACATAACTTTTGAAAATACGCATAATATAACATGTGCATAACTGAGTAGGTTAAACTTTTATTTGATAAGATGCGCATAAACTACGAAGTGCACTTAACAAATTACAGTATGTACATTAAAAAATTAGTTTGTTAGAGATGATGATGAAAATGTGTGTGAAAGGACAAACCAGCAGACTGAGCACACTGCAGAACATCTTAAATGTTGTTTTAGTCATTCTAAAATGTCTTTACTGTTTCAGTATTAGTGTATATTATTAATGACCTCCGAGCGTCTGGAGCGTGTCAAGATCTGCGCGTCTGGCTTCAAACGCCCCCACGTGTTCATTGTGTGTCAATTGTC